CTGACTAGTACTCTGTACATCATAGGACTAGACACTCTTACCCACATAGAATCTTTCAAGGTGACAAAAATCAATTTGGAGAAAAACTAAGGCTGAGGTAGAAAGGAGAGGGGAAAAAAAAAACCCTTAGGACTCAGGTGTAAGGAATATTGCAGGTTCTCAAATTCTTAAATACATTATTTAATGAGAAATACTAGGTTCCACATGCCATATTTGAGAGACTTTTTTTTTTTATAAGAGACCATTGTGGCCTGCTATAGTACAGTTACAACTCATACTCTTTTTTAAACTTTCTAAAACAAGGTGTGAATTCATACTTAAACAGAAATACAAAACTGAAGAGCCTATAGCGATGGTCACACTGAAGTCCAATATGGGCCAGGGAGACAGAATCTAGTCAAGCAAACATAACAAACTGGCATTTTCATTTACTGTATCCTGTAGTACTTTAGAGAGCCATAAATTACACACCTTGAGAGGAATAACCATATGCATGCATGCAAAAATAAAAATTAAAAAAGCATTCATAATGCATCATCTGTTCCCAAGATAGTACAGCTGCCATGCTTTTAATAGCAGAACCACAAATTCTGTGTGAGCTTTGAACATGCTATACTTCTACCACAGCAGAAAGAAAGTAAAATTAACCCCATAGTGAAGACCACCACCACCTTGGAGGAACAGAGATTTAAAAGAGAGGGGTGGGGGTGGTAATGAGTCACATGAAGCTGAATGTAGGAGGTTTTACTATAAAAGAAAACAAAAAACAATTTTTTGTTGTTTTATATGTGATCGAAATCCTGTGTTAGCATTTCCCACTGGCAATGGAACATCGCAGATTTAAGATTTCACACCACCTCCCCATATGCAAATAGATAAATAATGAATGATACAGAAAACTTTTTGTCCTGCTACTACTGCTATCATGGAAACTGTAGCTAGTGCACATGTAACTAGAAAGCAAACATCACCTACCTCATTGCCAGAAGACAAATCCTTCCTTTACTGTATGCATTCAGAGATTAATTAGAGATGTGGTAACGTGACTGTGCACTGCTGCATAGGTGTCCACACTCATTCTTAGACTGCATCACTTGTGAGGTTAGACATTCTGGGCTTAAACTTCCTTCACTGATTTGAAATCTAAGGGTTTGGGTTTTTTTTTACCTCAAAGTTGGATCCTTGCAGACTACTTTAACTGCTTCAGTAGCAGTTACTGCCCTTTCCCAACTAGTTATCATGCTAAGCCTACCATTAAAGTGAAACATGGAGAAGTCCTTGTTTCGCTTGAAAAAAGAAACAAAAACAAACAAACAAAAAAATCAGTGGATTAGTTTAAACTATCTAAAGGGAGGGTATAGAAAAGACAGACTCTTCGAGGTGCATAGCAACATGATGAGAGGCAGTGAACATATGTTGCAACATAGGAAAATTCAGACTAGACATTAGGAAAAAAATTCACAGTGAGGGTAGTCAAACACTGAAGCAGGATGCTCACGTATGTTGTGGCATTCATAAACCATGAAAATACTTAAAACTCAGCTGGACAAGGCCTCTAAACAACCTCACCTATTGAATCTACTTTGAGAAGGGTATTGGAATAGAGGGATCTCCAAAGGTCCCTTCAAACCTACATTAGTTTGCGATTCTATGAAATTCTTGCAA